TCGAGCGCGTGGCAAGATGTGACCGCCCGGCGATCGATATTTCTATGCGCACATCTCGCCACGTGCTCGAATTGGGCGGTAGGCCGGCCTAAGACAACGATTTTTAATAATTAATTACTCGTTAACTATTACGAAAATTGCAAAATGGTACAGGACTTTTCCGTTCATCTCGATCTGTTCTACCTTCTCAAAAATTTTGTCGGATATAGAAAGACTCACCCTGTATATATATGTATATATAAAAGCTTCATGTCACGTTTTTGCGTATGTCACATTTGTAAGCTGCATTCGTACTGTTGGAGCAACGCTGATCTAAATAGTTATTTGATTTAAGATATATCGCCATAATTTGTTACGTTACATTTCAACGACGTGGAGGTATAATGAGGGAAGTCTGCTAGTTTCGAGCGGGAGTGGATTATTAATTAGTGATCTTACCTCGTCCCTTGCTACGCTTCAAATACGCATCGTCTTCATACACGTCACGAGTTAGACCAAAGTCCGAGATCTTGCAAACCTTGCCGGTTGCGAGCAAAACATTCCTCGCCGCGAGATCCCGATGCACCAACTGCAATGCGGAGGAAACTTTGATCAATTGCTAATGACTTGACCAAGTCGAATTGAGACATTTCGCGACTTTCGCGTTGCCTTCCAGAGAATTGCAGAGAGAATTGCAATCGCATGTCCTTAAATTTTATTAGCTATAATAAATTGCAAGGAACTTCAATTTGAATTCCGTCACGATTCTATTATCAATTTTTAGTTAACTTTATTATGTAGCTATATTTTTTGTCTGAATATTTTATAAATGAAACGTTTTTAGTATACGGATAGAATTTTCTTTTAAAATTTATCCTAAAATTATGTGATCGTGGGACAAAGCGGCATTTCGAGGAATTTTATGAAAGATTTTTGAAATTTCATCATTTATTTTACTAGTAAAATATAAGGTAAAATTTCAAGAAATTCTCGTAAGATTGTTCAAAGCGCCATGTCCCACTATCACATGATTTTCGGGACAAATTTTACGAGAAAATTCTCTCCGTGCACAATTAAGAAAAAGGAAATTTCAGCTGATAGGCATTTTGAAATGGTACCGCACCTTGATGTCGGTCAGGTATGCCATCCCTTTGCTTATTTGCCAGGCGAACGAGAGGATATCACGTGGCGTTATAGTATAGTCCAATGCATTATCGCTGCATTGCGATTCCTCGCTGGCGTTGATCGGCGAGGTGGAAAGCAGAGACGTCGGTGCGAGCATTCTACTCTCTGACTCCAAGTGCCGGCTGCGCCTCAGATAGTTTCTGAAATTTCGTGTAAATTTATCCTATAAACCGCCCGGCGTTGTCTGGGAAATTGGTGGTCAATAATCCGTCTGTTCCCGAGAAACTTGGATTGCCGAGCTGGCGGTGGATCTCCCGGCATGTGCATCGCGTCCGCGGAAAAATTTAATTACCGAGAGCAACTGGTTTCGTATAAAGGTTGTTGTCCCTCTTGGCATTGACGGAATTCTATGCGGTGCAATTCCCGGAGTTATTTCCGCGTTTGTAAGTCGGTCGCGTTCGTTGCGATGTCGTACGTTTAGACGTGTACTATGGCAGCATTGTTGGCATGGAGGATAAAATTGTTCGACTTTTAATGTGTTATCTCTCGACCACAACGAGACAATGAAAATACCAAGCATTAATATCCACGTGCTATTTATACGTCTCTTTAACAAAAGAGAAAATTTTCCTTTTACTTTCTGGAATGATACATTTCTTTAATAGCGAATTCGATTGCTTGCACTAGTGCGCGCTGAGTGCACACTAACGCCTGCTTATAGATCCATTTTTGTATTTAGCTTTGTCTTGAATACACGTTTAAAAAATATTTAGCCAAAAAACGATCCGTACGAATGCTGCACGGATCATTTTACTGACGAAGAAATATTTCAAGAGATATTTAAGACGATCCTTAAATATAGGAACTGACTGTAAACAAGCCTCAGCTGGGTGCACTCAGTGCGCACTAGTGCAAGCAACCGAACTCGATATAAGTCCCTTGCTAGAGCCTTCAAAGGATTGCATATTAATATATTTATAGAAAATACAAGAGACAACAAAACATATGAATACAGAAAATCTCAAATTAAATTCTGCAAAAATGAGCATTATTCATCGTCTAAGAAAGGTAGAGCTACCTGGACGTAAGTTAAAGCCAATTTCGACAGGCGTGACGCACGAAATCGCATCAATTCGCGTCCAGCCGGCGTAGGCAGGACTTTTATCGATAAGACCAGAAGCTTGTGAAACGGAAAGGTCATAAATAGTGGCGGGACAGCGGCGGTCGAATATATCACGGCGCGCACTTACCGTAAGGAGCCGAATTCGGCGAATTCGATGATGAGATAGACGGGCGCGCCCGGCGGTGTCGTGCAAGCGCCCAGCAATCGAATCACGTTCGGATGCTGCGCTTCCTTCAACAGCTGATACTCGGACAGCAGATCCGCCAGTTCGGAGGTGCACGCGTCCTCCTTCAGAGTCTTCACCGCGACGGTCGTGGGACCGGGGATCCCACCGATGTTCATGGCTTTGGCGCGCAAAACGCGCCCGAACTCACCCTCGCCCAGCACCTGTTCGATTTTCAGGAGCGATCGTGGAAATTCCCACTTCGGGTCCGGCTGGAATTCCACGCAAACATTCGGAAGTTAGACAAATTCATTATCAATCTCATAGTTTGCCACAAGTTCATTCCGATTAACGGACAATGATCTTAATTTCCTTTCCCCAAGTCATAGAAACATTTTCAATCGCTGATCGGAGGCTAACACTTCATCTTTAGACACTAAGTTTAATTCAGGTTTGTCTCTTTTTAGAGTAACAGCTGGGAAGAGACAGAGAATGCATTAAGCTGAGCTTAAAGTTAAGGGGATGCTGGAGTGGTTTGATTTACCGACAGAGTCGCATACAGTTTTTGGAGGTTTGTAAAAATTACCTCAAGGAACGTAACCTCAATATGTCATATAGATACAAACCAAAATAATTATGTAGCATTTATGTACAAACTAATACCAGACCCAAGTGTAGAATGCATAGTAGAACATTTTCATATAAAAAAACATTGAGGTTTGAAGTCTAATTCGTATCGCATTATGTATTGCAATATTTGTAATACATAATGCGATACGAATTAGACTTCAAACCTCAATGTTTTTTATATGAAAATGTTCCACTATGCATTCTACACATGGGTCTGGTATTAGTTTGTACATAAATGCAAATAATAAGATTTACAAACGCAAAAACGGTATCCGACTCTGTCGGTAAATCAAACCACTCCAGCATCCCCTTAAGCGACGACGTTGGTGAAACCGGGCCTTAGGGCGATATTAAGATCATCTTTAGATATTGCGTAACCAATGAAGTGTTCCATTCAGCATCTTCAGACAAATTCAAGGCGATTTTCAATATAACATCTGGATACTATGAATATACCGATCTTACGCTTGTTCGTTCGACTTATTTGCATTTAATGTCCGTGGCGCTGGTTTGTTGTTTGACTTACTCTTATTTTGAGTTTCGTTTCGCTTTCCTCGCAGCCAGTGTAGAACAATTCGTGAGATCCCGAACACGAAGACGGAAAACGCCTGCACCGATTAATAAATCCTTTCGAGCTTGTTACGATAAGAGCTTTACTCCCTCTAATCCGGCGTTACGCCTCGGTAGAACATGTTTCCAGGTTCGTGTCCGACGATATCAGTTCGGCATTACTTCGCACGAGTTACTTTGCAAGGGACGCGGGCGGATACCCAATTAAATGACGGTTCAAGAATGATAATAGGATCACGTAGCTAATGAGAAATACCTCGACGAATTAGCAGTCACTTTGAATTAGTATTAGCGTATTACCTGCTGCGAATCTCGCCACAAGATTTCGATTCGGATTAGATGGGCGATTCGTTTCCATTAATTATAGAGATTAGCGTTAATCAATAAACCCGTAACATAAATCGATAATAGAGATACTTAGACGGCACGACGAAATGGATACTTTCTTCATTCTGTTTTACTTTGCGCCGAATCGATCTCAGGCTACTTTTCTCCCGGCAGCACGGTAGAATTTTTTCGAAACGAAGTGCTACTCTCGATGCACTTTCTATGTATAAGTTTTGTAACGTGCCGATTCCGTGATATTCCAAATGATATTACCGTACGTTACTTTAGACATCTCCGAACAATTTTCGTCGAATGAAAGATCGGTGGCTATTTTTTACTCAAGTGGCGAAAATTGGACGAGTGAGACGGAAAGTGTATTATTTGAAAAATGACGCGGCTTTAGCGAAATTTCGGTTTAACAATTTTCAAGCAAAATTATTGAGTACGTCACACTTGCTGTAAACATGACGCTAAGCTGCCTTGCTGCGAGTAAGCAATTTAACAGACGAAGCCGCGTGGAATCTATTTTGAACGAGATAATTAATTGTTTACTGAAGCAAATTAAATTTGCGCCCCGATAAAAAAATATCCTGTTAAGTAAAGTCACTCCATTCCAAAGTTTGATAATGAAATTTGTATGACGTAAAAATGCTCTCGATGAGTTCGCGTGTGCGTCATGAAAGGGTTTACCTCGTAAACCTACTGTTCACTGAGCCGCACACGCCATGTTAGAGTCGATCTGACTTCGTTTCGACTTTATTGAATAAAAGTCACTTTATCTCGCTGGCGTCGCTTCAAGAACGCGCCTCGCGAAGAATAGAAATATCGTGAATTCTTTCCAACGACATTTCGCGGCTTCGCTTGTTCTTTTACATCGGTATTCTTATCGCGTTCTTTCATTCGGCTGTGGATACTCCAAACAACGAAATAGGCTCACGTCCCTCTTTATTATTTTCATTAAAGAAAGGAAGTTTACGTAACAAATATTATTTCATTAATTACAATTTTGCGTATTGCAACGAAAACAATAAACTGAATTCTTCGTATAAGATGTATATTGAATTTTATGTCTTATTAGGCTTTTATTATTTTGCGAGATATGTTTGCGCTCTGCATCTTTTCATTTGCATATTCCGAGCTTCTGTGGTATTTGAAGGAGATGCAACGAAATATATTCGCATTCCGCTTTAAAGGATCAAAGCAAGAGAACTCGGTTGAAAAGTTCTTTCTTATTAACTAGACCTTTTTACGAAATAAAAGGAATCTGCATAAAGTAAGGTACTTTGTATTTCAAGAAGATCTTGACAGTTCTCTGCGAAAAATATTGGCGACCCTCATAATCTCGCGCGTTGTTAATGACGCCAAACAATTTTAGGGAATGCTCCAAGATGCGGGAAATGCCAAGTCGAGCTTTAATTTCGGTGTAATTCTCGAGACAAATACGAGTGGCGCTAAAAAGTTTTAATCGGGGAGGCGGGCGCAGATGTTAGATAAGAGATTCCTTCGCGCATTACATTTAAAGCACGTAGTTACAAGTTCCTACATGCCAAAGACCACGAGTAGCGCAAGAAGCGCAGGGTAAAACACGCGGTCGCTTCAGATATCGAAAAGCAACGATGCGAAGAACGACAAAGTAAGAATCCATCGGCTTTTCTAAAAAAAACAACGAAGTCTCTTCTTCCGCATGATCCAAACACTGACAGAAAAAATGGTTGCAGTTATCACAATCTCACTATAATTTATAGTCATTTTGGGGGCCAACCAAATTTTTATAAATCAAATTGAAATTTAAACGCCCATTGAATTAGGACCTAGGCAAGGTGATGGCCATTAAATAGCTTAGTGAATCCATATACCGTATTTTTCCTACTCTGTACTGTGCGCCGTTACTATCGGACATATAACACAGATTTTCCCCTCGGTAGGATCATTCTCGTCAGTGAATTCACATGTTCTAAAAATCGCAGAGCGATTATTACAAGTTATTTTAATTTAATTTTAATGCTATACTTAGCATTATAAATTTACCCTTTCCCCTATTGAATTAAAATTCTTATTACGAAAAATATTACCCCAACCAGGATTCGAACCTGGGACCTCCCTCAATCCGTGCGGGCGTCTCAACCAGCTCGACCACTGGGGCAAATTTTTATAATTCATCCAACTATACTTTAACAGAATAATAGTTAAAAGCTTATATTTTATAGTAAATTTTTTAAATAGTTGGCATCACTGTGTCTATATGGTTGCTATTACTAATATTGTAGTAATAATTACTATAAAAACGATATTCCCGACTATAATTATTTTACTATGCAATTATAGTTTCAAATGCTATACATTTTTCTATCAGTGTATCCTCATCAAAGATATTGGACACTTTACGAAGGTTCCTTCGGGATCTTCGAAATTTTAGATTAAACCCTAAATTGAAGCGAAATCTGAATTTCTTATTCCCTCATCAGTAGTCAGCTGGTGCGCTGTATCCTTTCAACGAGATGCGACATCCAAGAGCAATTCCTCCCTGGAATACGCAACATCTATTTTGCGGAAATGCGTCTTCCGCGATTTAACGCGTTTCTAAGACGCGAGCGATCGAGCGCGGGCAACGGCGTTACTAAACAAATATCACGGACGAACTTGAAGACTACGAAGACTTGACCGAGTTTCCGAGGCGCGCTTAGATTCTGGGAACCAGCCCTCTTGGAGTCTCGCGCGTCTCCGTGCGGAAAGCTGAGGGAGCTTATGCGCTTTAGCACGCTGCTTGCGAGATTACGCGGATGCACGCAAACACGCGAGCACGCACGTGCGGCGTATCACGTGCGGGAGGCGACCGCACGGGGAAGCCTGCAGATTGTGTTGCGCAGTTGCTCGCAGAGACGCAGGTGTCGAAAGGAGGGCGATTTTTTACTATTTTTCTTGTTACTTATTAAAGAAATAAAAGGGAGAGATTTATTTTTCCGCGTTGAAATTTTCTTTCGCGAAAAATTTTTTGGCAGAAGCCACGATCGTTTTACACGGAGCGTTGGTGGTTGGTGGTTTTATTAAATTTTATGATACATGTGCCTTAAAAGAGATGAAAAAGAGAAGCTTCTTCTCTTGAATTTATATGTGAAGAGAATTTAATATATCTTCCGTTCGCGTTTTGTTTTACACTGTTCCTTTTATTTTGAGTGCAACAAATGTTGCTTGTAGACAGATTTGTACACTGATAAAAAATATCTTAATCCAAAAAGATCACTTTACTCAAGAAAATTATTCATTAAGTGGCTCCTAATGATTTATTAACTTAAATTTAAAAAATAATAAACAAATTAAAACATGCATTGCTTTAATTTAAGTACTTATTAAATATCAAAGAATAAATCATTTTAAATTTAAAAAATTTTACTTTAATTCTATAAAATATTTACTAAGATATAAGTTTCACACAGCGAAGAAAGTTGAATTTCTTATTTGACAAAAACAATGATTTTATTTAATACATAATATTTTGTATCTCATGAAATCTTTATTTGAATGTAGAAAATGTAATGATTTAAATTAATTTACTTAAGGGGATGCTGGAGTGATTCTGCACTTTCGCACCTTTTGCACTTAAAACTGTCTGTTTCGTGGAAAGATTTGTGTAATACACAAATTAAATGGCACGTGTACAGATGATCGAAAGCAGCTTGCTATTCCGGCTAAATTAAAGAACAATATAACATCATTGAAACTAAGTTTGTAAGTCTAATAAAAAATAATAGTGAGCAACACATA